CCTCACCCGTCTGCCGGCGAATGATCTCCCGACATACCAGGTGAAAGAGGAAATGGTCTCCATCCCCAATGTTTATCTTGATGCTCCGTGGAGAGTCCGAGGGGTCGAAGGCGATAGCTCGTGGAAGTACACGGCACGGTGAAGCCGCAGTGCCGTACATGCTGAGGTCCGCTGCTACACGGATTACCGATACCGCCTCGAGCACCCCTCAGGATGCACCCATGGAGCAGATAGCCCTCATGAGTTACCACGCTGTGGTCCACCCATAATCACTCGTGACGAGGTTCAACCTACGTACCATTTGGTAGGGTCCGGAGTATCCCATGCGTCCGACCACGGTTCGCGGCCTGGCCCCAATTTTGGAAGATCTCCGAATTCGGGTGTCATGGATCGTGGAATTGTTGGCACGGGCGACCCAGAGCAAACAGCATTGCCACGAAATGGCGCTCGGCGGAAGCAATACGCATCTCGTTCGGGTTCCATACCATGCGAAAACCCCTCAGCCGACCATGTTGTAGCAGATATGCCGGCTCATTCCACCCACATACTTCTATACATATACAAAGCATTTTGGGGGTGTTGCACTTTGTGTATTATACGCACGCGCTATGATTCATTTTCCCATTGGTCGGTTTGTCGGTTAACGTCATTGTCATTTCCGAAGATAGGTTATGAATTTGAATAGAAAGACAGTTGAAAATGATTTGGCAAACAGAAAAAAAAGGAAAGGAAACGAGGCAGACCCATAAAAAACATGGGACCAAGGACCAAGTAGTGGCAGAAGACTTAAAAAAAGAGGAACAAACTGGCATGAAGTGATGAATCTAGCAAAAAATAAAGACAAAATTAGTTTATAAGTAAAAATGTATATCTTTACACCCTATGGATACTTAAGATTTTATTGATTGAGGATTTATATTAATTAAGGGTAATGTATTGATGAAATTTGCTAAAGCAAATTTTTACGTGTCCAATCAGTAGCTAGAAATTCCACATTTTGCTAATGTACGAGACTTCGTGTTTTTGGTGAACTCTTACTGTTATATATTAAAAGGAGGCGAGTAGTTTCGCTTTATATATTTTTTATAAATGTCACAAGAAATTATGTTTATAACCTGTGAAGTTCCAAAGCCCGCTATATATGATACCACATCTTCTACATACGGCGAAAGGTCAAACATGGTTTTTACATAATCATGTTCAAATAAAAAAAACGACACCTAATGTACTTGTCTTTGGATCACAAACTGGATCCGCTATTTTATTTGAAAAAGAATACCTAGGGACAATTTATATCTAAAATCGGCATTGCTTCAATGTGTTCTAAGATCTTAACTAGCTTTGCATTGTACATTTAATAAAATAAGNGTGGTGTAGGTAGGATTTTATGAGTTTGGTAAGGGATATGGGATATTGGTTGGTGAGCATTTTCATCAGTAGGCCTTTATGCCAAACCGTATCGAAGGCCTTTGACGGATTACCGATACCGCCTCGAGCACCCCTCAGGATGCACCCATGGAGCAGATAGCCCTCATGAGTTACCACGCTCTGGTCCACCCATAATCACTCGTGACGAGGTTCAGCCTACGTACCATCTGGTAGGGTCCGGGGTATCCCATGCGTCCGACCACGGTTCGCGGCCTGGCCCCAATTTTGGAAGATCTCCGAATTCGGGTGTCATGGATCGTGGAATCGTTGGCACGGGCGACCCAGAGCAAACAGCATTGCCACGAAATGGCGTTCGGCGGAAGCAATACGCATCTCGTTCGGGTTCCATACCATGCGAAAACCCCTCAGCCGACCATGTTGTAGCAGATATGGCCGGCTCATTCCACCTAAGCAATTCTGGTACTTCGCACAACCGTCCCCATGATTCCCCCCAAATCTTTGATCAAACAAATCCACACGACCATCTTACACAACATGGCGCTCGACGTGAGGCTCGAATATGTTCTTCGATGTCTCCCCCACAAGCCCATATTGTAGATACCGATTCCATTGGACGTAAAGATCATCTTACACGACATGGCGCTCAATGTGGGTCTCGAATACCCATCTCGACGCCTCCGTTGCAAGCCCATGTTGCCAAAACCAATCCTTTCGATCATCTTACTCAACACTATACGTATTTTGGACCATATCAATGTCCGATATGTCGAAATATATTATAACTAAATTTGTAAATTCTTACGTAAATAGAAAAAAGGCAGAAATGCCTGAAAGAGGTTTAACAATTATAAGATTTATTATTTTCTTAATAAATCTTTCGTTTTTTAATAGTATCTCGCTTATTGTTAGACATGGACCCAACAAACCTTATATGACTATGCTCGACAGGGTACGTTCTATCCAAATATGTAAAAATATACAGGGTACTCCATTTAAATTAACAAAGCGGCCATTTTGTTTGGACTTCAATTGTTTTTCAACGATCATTTTAGAAAAATTCATAAAAAATTGTGCAACTTTTGTATTTCGCATTTTTTTTATCTCTTAAAACAAAAAAAAGTTAAAGGTCAAAATATATAGTGAATCACCCTGTACAACATTCGGGCCTTTATTATACTATACAGGTCTTAAAAGTATGGTCATTTTCGTTCTTTTCATATAGGCACCTGAGGTAATTTTTAAATTTAGTCTTAATGGTTTTTAACTGATTATAGGCAGCAGGTAATATTTCGTACGAGACTGTACTACCGTATACTTCTCAAATTAATGCCAAGATTCCTGGGAACATAGTTACACTAAATTTATCTGCAGATATTTGCAGATAAGGCCGTAAATAACCTATTTATACGAGGCGTACAAATGGATTTACTTCAGTTATTCTCCCGTTTTTGTGTCGGACAGTATTTAGTGTGCTCCAGTGACTTTTCCGTTCTATTTTTTTGTTTGTTCTGTGTTGTTATTTGCACTGTTTTTCTTTGTTTATTATTATCTTTTATTACAATGGCTGATGAACCAATAACACACCTGAAATTACATCAAATAATTATGTAATTTTCACGCGAATCAGTCGAAGTGCGAAAAAAACAGTGTGCTCGACTTTCTAAAAGAGCATTTCCACGCAAATTTTGATGAAAATGCAACGAAAACCCATACCACATATACAGGAAAAGCATTCTTTGCGCCTTATTTTGCAAGATGCAAAATTAAGTCGAAAAAACGAACATTTCTTAAGTAAATTCGAAAATTGGCTGACTGAAGGAATAAATTTCCCGAAGATTGTTGTTCGCTGCCTGCAGCATTCTCATAAAGCGTCTACAGGGTCGGAAAGTCCCCATGGTTCATCGGCCGTTACGTGAGAGCGATAAAGAAAGTCGAGAAATCCGTGCGATAGAGAAAGATGGCTATAATGAAGGCATCTAATAGTCACCGCCCATTTTGCCCTTCCACAAATAAATCTTTCTGTACATCAGAAAGGGGTGGTCGTCCCTTTAAGGATTTTGAAGATTGTTCTGTCGTTATTAAATGTAAAAAAAATACAGGAGATTCATGAACAAACATCAAAATATAATATATTATATTCCATTTCAAGTCGGTCCAATTTTATGAATTTCAATCCCCTAAAAGGGGTTGAAATCTAGAATATAGTGTAATATTATTACCTCCAGTGGATTCTAAGGTATAAAAAACCCTGGAATCTAAAATTTCCTTGTAATAGGACAATTATTCTACGAGTTATAGGTTTAGATCGAGAATTTATAGTTTCTGATCACTGTGCGTATTTCTTACGTACCAGGGTAGCAGTGGCCGTGCCTAAAGCTATCTTTTCCACAGTCTGGAGTGTTTGAATGAGGCTTTTTGCCACGTAACCCCACACCGCGGAGGCGTATGTTAGCTGCGGTTGAAGTACCGCCTTGATTAGCGTTCGCATATTCCTTAAACTTGATAGTGTTGCTCCTCTTGAGTAAAGGATAGAGCTTAGCTCTGGTGGTCCTCGCTCACGCCACTGTTTCCACGATGTACGTTTCCACTTAAGTTGCCGGTCACGCCCAGGTATCGCGTATGTCGGCCCTAGCACAGTGTCAGTATATCTACGTTGGGGGGAATTTTGCTTTTAGTAAAGGGTATGGCAGTATTTTTGTTGGGGTTAATTTTGACTTTCCACCGGTTGGACCAGGTTTCAAGTAGGTTTAAAACGTTCTGTAAAAAAATAACTTCAATTCGTGTTCAGCACCATCGAAAATAAGGGGGTAGACAAAATTCTGTGAAGATTTGGGAGGGCGACACTAGTAAATAATTACCCTAGATAAGGACTTTATTATAATGATTATTGATTACCATTAAATGATCAGATTTTATAAGTGCTGTCAGATAAGTCCAAAGGTTTTTTTTGGTTCTATGTTCTGTCAGCGGACAGTCCTAGAACTAGAACAGTTCAGAATAGTTACCCAACAACCCAACTGTATTGTCCAAGGAGCATATACTACATGAAGGAAGCACGCTTACATGACAGAAAGAGAGTTAGTTTGGGTACTATCTCTCTCGCGGAGGCACGTGACTGGCTAAAGCAACTCCTTTTTCATCGATTAAATAGAGAATATCCAAACTTACTTTCTTTCTACACCATTTACCTTTTTAACACACGGCGGGCGTGCTTCCTCCATGCGCTAATGGTATTTTTTAACCCTATGTAGTATTTTTGAAAAATATTCTGCAATAAAGTCTACATTTATTGTTTTTTTTTTTAAATCATAATTCAGTAGGAGATTCGAAAATTGAAAATATTTTCTGTCTGCTATTAGGGTCTTTCTGAAATATTTTCCTCAATGGGAAATTTCTGCCGTCCATCCTTCCAAAGTAGTTTTTTTTTGACGCAGACACTCATGCACTTTGTTTTCACAGCAATCTTTAGTTGAACAACTTAAATTATAGTTTTCACATTCACAATATAGGTGAATTTTTATAAATATTTTGAATTTACGGTACCACTGCACCTGTGTAGGAATAACAATCTTCGTGTTTGTATCGTTCTGCATAAATGAGACTCACACTGGTGCGGAAAATGTAAGCTTTTATTAAGTATAAAAAGGCAGCAAGGCACCTGACAAAAGCAAACTGAACAATCCTTCCATAACCACCTATTAATAAAAAAAGGGAATAAATCAAGTTATCAAGTGCTTCGTTAACAATCAAAAGGCAACAATATGAGACTTTAACAATGCCTGTTTATGTACATGTATTTACAATATATCGCTCTTTGTAAACCAATAATCCAATTATAATCATTTTATTACCAAAAAATCATTAAGTTCTAAAGTTAGATAATTAATAAATAAATTAAAAAAATATAAACGGAATCTTAAATTATTCAAATTAGACCTTCGTTCCTCTCTAATTTTGTACCAATGATGAATGAGACAGCAAACCACTCAGTCTTTTCTATTCCCGAGTCTCATTTTCAGATTCAGATATCTTTTGCGCTTCCTCTTTATCCACCAACTCCTCTTCGATAGATTTACTAATATCCATTGGACTCATTACGTTATCGTCTGCATCTGTTATATTTAAAACTTTTTCTGTGTCTCCAGAATCATTAAAATCAGAATCACATAACTTGTCAGTGTCAGAAAACTTCCCAATATCAGGGAAATCTTCGTTTGGTTCTGTCACTATTGCCTTTGTAGACTCTGCATCGGAATCGGATGCTGAATTCTTATCTGAATCCGAAGTATTAGCAGGCAGTGCTCTTAATGGGCTTGTTTCAAATTTAGGACCTGTCGGTCTCTTTTTACGGGCCGGGTTGGAAGCAGAACAATAACAGCAGCGAAACGATAAGTATTCAAACTCTTCTTTAAGAGACATACCTAAAAATATTATAATAAATAAATGTATATAAATGTTTTTTTTATTTCAATGGCTTATCCCTCAACAACTTTTTTTTGCCTACAGTGTACAGTAAGACCCCGCTTAACGCTGTTTCGTTTAGCGCTGTTTCGGTTTAGCGCTCTTTTATTTCAACCCGGGGATTCCCCGAAATTGCTCGCAGCACTACGGGGATTCCCCGAAAGTGTGCGCAGCGCTAGGTTTCCAAATATGTACATAACCTATCCGAAACAGTGTAGTTGTGTTTCTTGTTTGGCGCGGTGCTGTACGGACGCATTTTTATCAGTTGATAAACTATAACTGAAATTATGGACCAATTTGTTGAAAATGATCCAAATTTTGACAGGGAGTTCAAAAGCAAGACAGGGTGTTATAGATCCACTTATCAACAACTTCTAACAGAACGCAAAAGGAAAACACAAACTACATTAGATGCCTTCTTAACAAAAAGGCAGAAAATTGGAACCACATAATAGACTGAATGATCTGCCTGACTTAGAATCTTATTTGTTTTTATAAGTAATATTCGTTTATATTGTTTTTATTTTTGTAAGAAATGTTTGGATTTATTTTTATTAAAAAAACATAATTATTAAATTTAATACCTAACCAATTTTCTGTCCATCTTCCCCTAACCCCATTATTTACATGTTAAGATAGCCTAGTTTAGCGCTGTTTTGCATTACGCTCTACTTTGATGGAACGTATCCTACGCTTTAAGCGGGGTCTTACTGTATATGTAGCGTACTATAAATATGATTTTTTTAACTTAATTTACCCCTATGCTTCCTTTAGTTGCTAGATAACGTTAAATGTTAACAAAATATTTTAATGTCTTCCAAATAACTACTCTGCAATTTAAATTAAATTTAGTATACTAGTATTTATGTTACTTTTTGACATAGTAATTAAAATAATTTATTTTCTATCACGCGTGCTCGCTATGGGACCTATAGTGTAGGGGGTTAGGTGCATGGAAAGTGCTAGATAGTACAACAGCGTGACGTTATTTTCATAGCGCAACGCTGTTGTACTATCTAGCACTTTCTGTGCATCTAACCCCCTATGCTATAGCTCCCATAACGACTCGCACTTGTAATAGAAAATAGTATGTGCAACTCGTTCGGAAAAGTTGCCATAGCGCCACTTTGGCGCTTTCCGCACTCGCTTCGCTCGTGCGTCAACTGCGTCTGCGTGGCGCTATTGGCAACTTTTCCCCACTCGTTACACAATGTACTATTCCAAAACTGGGAAAAACATTATAGCACAACGCCACAAAATTGAAAAAGTGTGCAGGACCCTGCACCAGTACCTAATAGTATTTATCTTGTTTAATTGAAAGCTAACGTCAGAATTTCCGTATCAGTTTGTGTTTTGATCTTAACATCAAGAAACTTCTCTAGAAAATGGTTTTTGAGATTTGAAACTCACTTGAGTAGTCTGTGTGTCATTGCACTATACATCTTGCACATCTTGGGTTACGAGATTATAGGGTTAGGGAAGCCTGCCAACCAACACCCCTGTAGTTTCAAACCCCCGATGTATGAAATTCATGTTTCCTCAGAGTTTCACGGTTGTTCACTTTCGCACATTCCTAGTTATGGGGCTACGGAATTATGGGGTTAAGAGGACATGAAACTCTGAAGAATTCAGTTCGTAGTCTAGTTGTATCATCATAGTCTCTTAATCTGGGGCATGCGAGCTCCTGTAGACTCATGATCTTGGCCATCCATATTTGTGATAAAAATCACCCGGAGTTTTTTCTCTTCGTATTGTAATAGTACTTCTTAGACTGTACAACCAATGACTGAGTTTTCTCAACCAAATCGTTCAAATAACAAGTTATGGGGGTATGGGGTTAAAGGGTTATGGTGCAATGAGATCATTAATTCAAATGTTTTTCCAATAACTGACTACTCAAGTCAGTTTGAAATCTCGAAAATAGCTTTCTAGAGGAGTTTCAACTTTAAACTTTGATTTCAATTAATTTGGATTTTCAAAATTTTTAGAAATGTCACCACTTTCAGTAACACATTTAAAAAACTGAATGAATTACTTTTCAAATCAGATCCAAATTAGGTAGTCAGAATTTACAGAATGGGAGAAATCTAAAAAAGAATGAAATTACCATAGAACTTCTATTTATGAACACCTTTGAATAGTGGTTACCTCTAAATAACGGGCAAGTTTGCTTTCACGGGATTTTAATAAAGGACCCTCTATAAAACAGAGGCAGACACTGTATTTTTCACCAAAATGCGTAAATATAATTATGTAAAATCAACTACTATTAATAGCCGACAGACAAGAAGGCAAAGGGTTAATTCAAACAGGATGTAAATTTGAATGAGGATCAGTTTTTTAGGGGTAATATGTTTTCCAGTAATATGAAATTATTTTTGTTTAATCAAATTAATAGTCAACTTATAATTATTCATTTTCTAAATTACATTTAAACTGTTGTCTACAATGCCACTGGGAAGCACTCGGATTTGGTTTTATATAAGCGCCATATATGCTTATCAGTGTTGCCAGTTGTTACTTATCATTTTAAGCCAACTGCATGAAACTAATGAAATGGCAGAAAATGAAACTGCAATGGAAAATAACTTTGTAAAAATATATTGCTTTTGTATGAAGTTGTGATAGCACGGAACAGAAATGTTTGTTTTTTTAAAAAAACTATTTTTTTGCATGTTTCATTAAATACTGATTAATATTGATATGTGGATAGGCATATATAATATTTCTTAAGTAAAATTAATTTATATTTTAAAATAATTATTTTACTGTTTTATAAAATGTATGCAATAAAAAATAAATAAAAATGTTTACTGATTTCATTCTTAAAAGTGTACAGGGACATATTCATTCAACAAACAAAATACTGTATGCTTTTACTCTTTTTTTATTATTCAACCACATCATCAGCTGAATCAGTGCTGGACATTTTAAATAAATCGAAAACAACGTACGACAGCAAAAAAATTGAACCACGAATGATTGGCTTTAAATGAAAACTATTAAATGTTGTAAAGTATGGTTCTGAAAGCGTGTCTTTAGCGAAAACTGTGCCTTTTGATCTGTTTCTTCAACCAATAGTTTTTTAGCCACATGCTTGTTCATTGTTTACAGAATGCAAGCTCACTTTACATTAGAGTTATATGATATGATAGCGGAGTGAAAGACGAACAAAACATAAGTAACATTTATTTTAGTTTTTATTTTATTTTGTTTCAGTTTATGAGAAGGTTTTTGTAATAAGCTGAGTTAATGACTTTTTGCATCAATTAGTTTTTATGGAAATACAAAAATAATTTTGTATCTTTGTAGTAAGTGTATATGCATACGGGGTGTCCCAGACCACCTGTCCACCCTTTCTAAAATTCAAAGTACATGGTCTCCAAGCGGCACATATTATCGTGACCTTGTCTGTGACGTTGAAGGTCGTTCTCAAGGTCATTTCAAGGTCAACTTAGTTTTTTTAATGGAAATCCTTATTTTCAACCCAGGATTCATATGTGGGGTCCATTTGACCACCCTAAGCTCACGTGAAAGTCAATTTTGTTTTACTTTTTATGTTTCTTTTTGTATCTAGGTACTTTTTCAACAGTATCACATAAAAAACAGCTTTATCTTATTAACGTTGAAAATAACTTTATGTTATTATGTCATTATGTTACACATTAATTGTAATTGAAAAAAAATTGACCTTCACGGTTTGTTAACCTAGATGAACTAGTAGTTGCTATTTTTTTAATAATTATTTTTGAATTTTAAATTGTGAGCTATCTCCAATAATAATAAAGTAGCGATATTGTCAATATAATTTCAAACAACGCACAGTGTGATATTTCAGCAAACTAGGTGGAAATAATTGATTTTTTGAAAAACGCACATAATTAAAAACACATCATTTTCCAATAGAAGAACATCCCTCTTATATCACGACGTATCTAGTTTTCTCAGAATAGGGTTGTTGACTATAAAATCAAACCATATACAAATTGTTGTTGATACAAAGATTTTATATAAAAGAACCTGCCTGTATAGTAAAATTTTAAATATATGACAAATTAGTGGTAGAAATCATTTATGAATTTTTGTGTTACTTAAAAACTAGTCTGACGTCATAAGGGGCAATTGAACAAGAAGCTATTAGCGATCCTATTGCATAATTTTGAAGAAGAAAATATATCAAAATTGTCCATCAAACCCTGTTACCCTGTTTCCTGTTTTTTAAACAAAAGTGACAGTAGTGACACTAGTGACAGCAGTCTATCAATTAAGAGTATTTGTGATAGTTATTATTAATTTCCTGATTGTAATGGATTCAACAAAATTTAAGTGGTGTTTTGTTCCACATTCCACATTCCACATAGCCAATTGCATTATCTCCATAAGACTCCCGAACTGCACTATAATTTTCCGTAAATAAATAGGTATTTATATTTATTATTTATATTATAAATAAACACAATAAAATCATTCATTAAATATGTTAATCCTTACCTGACTGCTTTTATACCTCTGATTTCGCCAATATTAAAACGGTCGTCTCTTTTTAAAAATTCAATTCATGATCATAAAAATATCAATTTTCGGTAAAATTTGCGAAGTAGCTTTCACAAATTCTGTTTCACACATTCTGCTTTAATTCTAAGGGAAGGAAGATATTAAATGATTATTACTAAATAATAATTTTACTTAATAAAGGAATTCGAAGATTAAGGAAGATAACTCGTAGACTTGAAAATATTTTATGCGACAATGTCACTGACAGACTGACACTACTGACAGTGTTGACAGAGCATCTTCTTCCGCCAATTTTTTTCCTTTACGCAATCATCTACACATAATTTCACTACAAGGTGCCCCTTATGACATCACAGCCGTTTTGAAATATTATAAAAAAATCAGTTTTTAATAATTATTTTAAAACTGTTCCGACGCATTTCTCAATCTCTAATTGTGCATACACACTAATTAGTACGTGTAGAATTATATTATCTACTTTTTGAAATTTCGTCAACAACCCTATTGGCCTGGGTTATAAATTTTCTTTACCTGGGTTGTATATAAACTGTATTGTTACACTCTCATCAGTTGTTTGTGTTAAGTGAATGAGTGCACTATACCTGATTGGTGTACTAATATGTTTGTGTGGTTACTGTAATCTGCTATATATCAAGGTATGTTAAAGGGTTTTAGTTTTCCGAAATATAATTTCGTGAGCCTGTAAATCGTTTTTAACATGGGGAAGCAATTAACATGTAAAAAAATTTATATTAGCAAATTGGAAGTGGATTATACTATAGTATACTGTTTTATACCGCAATAACCTTATATTTAATTGAAAGCTAGTCTCTTGTTACTCAATACACAACACATTGTGCACAAAACTGCGGATTCTTACATTTTTTTACTGATTTTCAGAATGGTTCCACAAATTTCTCGCCAGTCTATGTTTGACGTATAGGTTGCAAATTCGAAGACGACAAGAACTGACTATATATATGTTTTGCGAGAATTGGCCGATTTCTCATTGCCGGATGACATTATAGTTACTTTGAAAGTAACAATTAGAAGTTTGTGGCAAAAAATTGAGCAAAGATGGGCTAAAGCAGAAAGACATCGAAAACGATTTTTGACTGCAAATGCGTCGTGGCTTCAAGGAAATCTTACGTTTCCAGACATTATCATCCAAGCTTTACCGGGAACTTCACAAGGTAGTTCGTGTAGTAGACCTGGTAGGCCTCAAAAAAGCTTTGAAGAGTCGGGTTATAAAGCCAAAAAACAAAAACTACAAAATCTCCTACAATGTAGTCAAGAAGAATTATTCATGGACACTGAAATTAAGCTTCACCTGATCTGGATACATCTCAAGAAGAACATTTATCCAATCAGTAGCAATTTTAATTATTATTAAGTGATTCTGTTTTCGTGACTTTTTTGTACTAAATAAGTAATTTTTGTTTTAGTACCTACACCTTGTTTATTGTAAAAATAGTCTGTCCTTTAGTATGTCATCATAAACATTTACCTGTAACTAAAACTGACGAAATATATGTTTATAAGTAAAATAAGTTAGTTATTCGTAAATGGAGTAATTATTATTCATTCATTATTCATTATTCATATTTTTTTGCATACTGTTACATACATAAGATATGCTCAGACATTGATTTTATTAGTATGACACATAGAAATCAAGAAAAGCTCGTGAATTTTTCATGTAGGAATTAATTCCACCTAGTTTGCTAAAATATCACACTGTGCAACGTTTAAACATATATCTTCTTGTTCTAAAATTAAAATACCTATAGAAAATTGCTTTTTTCAGAAGTTAAACTTAAAAAAAAACTGTTTCATAAGAATATTCATCAAACACCGCGTGAAAGCAAAACAAACATACAGAAACAATTTGATTTGTGAATGGACAAAATTAAATAAAAATACTCGTAAGTGAAAAATATTAAAACACATTTTATTGAACTTGACTTACCATTGTGGTTGTTACACCGCTTACAAATGAGAGCATATCTATTAGATGGGCCATCGCCGACGAGATAATCAACCATTTTGTCGAGGATCGTTCGGTCCCTTGGTAAAATGCTCCTTGGCAAAGGCAAAGGAGTGCCAGGCACCGGGCCCATCCTGGGCACTACCGATGTAAGCCCAGAAACAGATCTGTTAGCAATAATGGGGGACGCTGTGAGCTGTCGTGCACGGAAGGAAGTTTGAGGCCCTCCTATAGAAAGTCTTTCTCTTATTGTGCTGTGAAGACCAATGTTCCGTTGCCGCAAACCTAAAATTAATATCCGAAAATATAAATCAATGTACAGGATAGATCAAAGTTGACAGTTTTGGGAGTTCCTCTCATCAATCAAAAAATATATACAAGGTGGTCCTTAAGTAATTGTACATAGAAGTATGATAGATTTGTGACTTTAAAATATTACGATTTGAGCCAACTTGCCTTAAAATATTAATAATAAGAAAGATACAGGGTGTTAAAAGTGAAATTTCAAAATTTATTTTTCGCAATAACTTGGAACATTTTTGGACTTTTATACAAAAAAATTTTTATCTGGGGGTTTTTTGGTATGAGAAATCATAATTTGGTGTCCAATTTAATGTATCTTTTAGAAGGCGCCACATAAGCCACATGTGTGGCATAAATGTACACTAAACTTTTTTGCCCATTAAGGTAGCCCTCTTTTGGGGAAAAAATATTAAAGGCACGGCATTGTAAGAACAAAAATGTATACTTGTTAACAACCTCTAAACTTAACGGTTTTCGAGATAATCGAATTTTAAAAATCGGCAGCATAATTCTTCTTTAATTCATTACGAGAAATAGTAACGTAGTAGACGGAAGTCAAGAATGAATTTAACAGCTAAACATTATTGTTTTCATAATCTATGACGTTTGAAATAGTTTTAATTGAATATTTCAGATAATTAGAGAATAGCAGAAAATGCCGAGACAATTTTTCTAATACAGAAATGAGAGATATGGTTACTATTTACTGCCAGCAATATTTCAATGGACGTGCTGCGAAATGGGAATATTTCAGAAGATATCCAAACAGGCTGCAACCTAATCACCAAACATTTGAAAATCTATTTAGGAATTTAGGCGAGTGGTTCATTTCGTCGTAAATGTGATAATTTAGGCCGACCGAGAATCATTACGCCTGATCAAGAAGAAGAAATTGGTTCACGTTGCAGATGATCTTCAAGTTAGTACAAGAAGGTTATCTTCAGCTTTAGGAATCAGTAAAACTTCAGTTTTAAAAAAACTAAACCTCGATAAATATCATCACTACCATTTTACGCCTGTGCAAAATTTATTGCCAGCAGATCTACCACTAAGATACCAATTAGCAAGTGATATCCGAAATAGTCAAAATCTTGACCCCACCTACCTTTATTAATAGAATATTATTTACGGACGAGGCAACATTTAGCCGCCGTGGTATTTCTAATTTAAGGAATAAACATATCTGGGAAATTGAAAGTCCTCATTTTAAAAGAGAAAAACATTTTCAACACGAATTCAAAATAAATGTATGGTGTGGGATCATTGGTGACCATTTTTTAGGGCCATACGATTTCCCGCATACTTTGAATGGTGAGAACTACTTACATTTTTTCAAAATGACTTCATTGATCTTTTGGAAGAATTGCCACTAAATTTCAGGCAAAATATGTGGATTATACAAGATGGTGCACTTCTTCCCTCATTATATGAGAGAAGTCAGAACATACCTATTTAAATACTAACTTTCCCGAGCGCTGAATTGGTCTTGGTAGTCATTTCGCTTGGCCAGTACTTAGCCCAGACTTTAATCCTCTCGATTTTGGCGTATGGGGCGCAATGAAACAACTTGTTTATAAAAGTCCCATAAATACTCGCAACCAACTTTGGGAAGAAATAAATGCAACTGCAGTTTCTTTTGGACCAATCATGTTATTTAATATGAGGCCATCTTTTATGGAACGTATGGATAAATGCATCGAAGAGAATGGTGAACATATCGAACACTTACTTTGACATAATTAAACTTGTAATGTTAGTTAGCTTAGTTTTTTCTTTTCTTAATATGTGTAAAATTCATTTCTAATTATGACTATTAAACTTATAATTTAACTGCTTTTATTTAATTTTTAAATTTTTAAAATTTTTTTAAATTTTTGATGTCAATTCCTACTATTACGTTAATATTCATCCTGTTGATGTAAAAACATGATAAGCGTATACGACTTCTACGTTAATATTTCTCGTAATGAATTAAAGAAGAATTATGCAGCCGATTTTTAAAATTCGATTATCTCGAAAACCGTTAAGTTTAGAGGTTGTTAACAAGTATACATTTTTGTTCTTACAATGCCGTGCCTTTAATATTTTTTTCCCAAAAGAGCGCTACCTTGATGGGCAAAAAAGTTTAGCGTACATTTATGCCACACATGTGGCTTATGTGGCGCCCTCTAAAAGATACATTAAATTAGATACCAAATTATGATTTCTCATACCAAAAAACCCCCAGTTAAAAATTTTTTTGTATAAATGTCCAAAAACGTTCAAGTTATTGCGAAAAATAAATTTTGAAATTTCACTTTTAACACCCTGTATCTTTCTTATTATCAATATTTTATTAAGGCAAGTTGGCTCAAATCGTAATATTTTAAAGTCACAAATCTACCATACTTCTATGTACAATGAGGAAGTTGCATCAAATTTTCTTTTGATGCAAAATTTATTTAAAGTGCAGAAAATTACTCTAAAAGTATGTTTTTATATGTAAAACCCCTTTAAACTGAATAATTAATATGTAATTAATTATTGAAATATTGAATATAATTAGGTGGGCGAAAACGATATCTAAGTATTGGTGAAGCAATTTGTGACGTCAGGATCCGGTATATGACATATGTGTAAAAACGCGGATCGCTGGCGCTGTCATTGCATTGCTGTCATTTAATGTTGCGTTCTCATCGAATTTTGAGGTAGTTTTGAATAGTTTAGTTAGTTTTAGTGTATAAATTTAAAGACAAATTTCGTTAATTTTCATATAGTGCATGATGGCTTCAGAATTACAGCACGAGAACGTGAAAGACATAAGAATGCCTGAACATAAATATTATAAGTGTTGTATAGTACCCATGTGTAGTTCCACAACAGTAACTGTCCCCAACAAATTATTTTTTAATGTGCCAAAAGATGAGAAAATGAGGAAGAAATGGTGTTTAGCTATAAAAAGAGACCTGAAGAAAAGTCCAGTTAGTGTTAAATCTACTTTGCACATCTGTGAGGATCATTTTAACGTAAGTATTTTATAGTCTTAAATATGGAATAATATTTTATTTTTTTAATATTTTTACTCATCGTTCATCCCTATATTTATATAGTTTATTTCTTATTCTACCGTAATCATTGGTGATACTACATGTTTTATTATTATTATTATATTTTATTTCAGTTGATACAAGATATGGAAAATTTTATGCAGTATCAATTAATGGGCAGGAAAGTAAAAAATTTAAGATAGAAGACAGGGGTGATTCCACATATATTTATGTGCCAAAAAACAAAAGAGGAACTTAAAGAAAGACATCTTCCTGAAAAAAGAAGACGTCTTGAANAATGAGGAAGTTGCATCAAATTTTCTTTTGATGCAAAATTTATTTAAAGTGCAGAAAATTACTCTAAAAGTATGTTTTTATATGTAAAACCCCTTTAAACTGAATAATTAATATGTAATTAATTATTGAAATATTGAATATAATTAGGTGGGCGAAAACGATATCTAAGTATTGGTGAAGCAATTTGTGACGTCAGGATCCGGTATATGACATATGTGTAAAAACGCGGATCGCTGGCGCTGTCATTGCATTGCTGTCATTTAATGTTGCGTTCTCATCGAATTTTGAGGTAGTTTTGAATAGTTTAGTTAGTTTTAGTGTATAAATTTAAAGACAAATTTCGTTAATTTTCATATAGTGCATGATGGCTTCAGAATTACAGCACGAGAACGTGAAAGACATAAGAATGCCTGAACATAAATATTATAAGTGTTGTATAGTACCCATGTGTAGTTCCACAACAGTAACTGTCCCCAACAAATTATTTTTTAATGTGCCAAAAGATGAGAAAATGAGGAAGAAATGGTGTTTAGCTATAAAAAGAGACCTGAAGAAAAGTCCAGTTAGTGTTAAATCTACTTTGCACATCTGTGAGGATCATTTTAACGTAAGTATTTTATAGTCTTAAATATGGAATAATATTTTATTTTTTTAATATTTTTACTCATCGTTCATCCCTATATTTATATAGTTTATTTCTTATTCTACCGTAATCATTGGTGATACTACATGTTTTATTATTATTATTATATTTTATTTCAGTTGATACAAGATATGGAAAATTTTATGCAGTATCAATTAATGGGCAGGAAAGTAAAAAATTTAAGATAGAAGACAGGGGTGATTCCACATATATTTATGTGCCAAAAAACAAAAGAGGAACTTAAAGAAAGACATCTTCCTGAAAAAAGAAGACGTCTTGAACTTATAATGGAAGCAGAAATAGAAGCTGCCACACCATCTGTGTCTGCTAAAAATAATGACAATAAAATGGAGGAAGCTTTTGGTGAAGAACCCACTACGGGACAAGTTTCAGTGGGTATTGTTGAATTGGCGACCCTGACCGTGGACAAGACCATATAAGTGAACCTGCGACCCAAATTCCGAAGTAAGGCAACTAATGTGCAGCAAATATGTACTTCAATTGGTTTATCACCAATAAAAATACCAGTTGTGTCAGTTGGAACGTCTCCGTTAAAACCCTACAATATAGTGAAATCACTATCTTTTGTAGAGAATACAGTTTCTTCTGCAAGTTCAAACATAGACAAAGTGACTAATTTAAGTCAAAGTAGTTCTTCAAGTACAATGGAGTTTACAAATGAATTGGAGGAAAATCAATTTAAGGAACATATGCTTAAAGGAACAATATGGAGCATAGAACGAGACCCTAAACTTTTTCTAGGTTTACCAGTAGAAAGTTATCATTTAATAGAGATGTTGACTACAAAGGCTCCATTGCCAGTGAGAAATATATTTATAACATTGAAGAAGGTACGTTTAAATGATTCATTTGCTATATTAGCGATTGATTTTGGCATGTCGATAAGCAATTTAAGTAAGATTTTTTCTAAAAGTGTTGTGATACTATCGGAATTCCTTCAACAGTTAATTTATTGGCCAGATACGAAAAACATTCGACGTCATTTACCTATTCCG